GGGGGCCTTACGGCGCTAGGGAGCCTCACGGCTCTAGGGGGCCTCACGGCTCTAGGGGGCCTCACGGCTCTAGGGGGCCTCACGGCTCTAGGGGGCCTCACGGCTCTAGGGGGCCTCACGGCTCTAGGGGGCCTCACGGCTCTATGGGCCCTCACGCTTCTAGGAGCATTATGCTGCCAATATTTTTTAATGAATATTGAACTATCTCTTGGCAATTTAATTCCCTTTCGAAATGCAGCAGTAAGACCGTTTCTCCAGTTAAAAAAAAAACCGAACTTTGATTTTCACAATTCAATTTTGTTCGTAATAGTTTCAGAAAAAAACTTTCTTTTGATAAATTGTCTATTTCTTCAGGTGTGTGTGGGGGAGGTAATTCTTAGAGTCTTAAAAATGTGCCATAATTTAATTATTTAGTCATTTCAATGAGGTAACTTATAATTGTAGTAGGAAAAAAACAACTGACGCCTTTGGTGAATATTTCCTATCTTCATTTGTATACCATTTAGATACCAAGATGACCTGTTTAAATACCCATTCTAAATCTATAGACCTTTTCTACAGTATTTTTTCTCTTTTTTTGTAACTGTAAATTTTGGATAAACCTGCTTATTTTTTTTTTTTTTAATGCAAAATGTTAATTATTTTGCTAATGTATTTATAGCTTTTTTGGTTGTTGTTTCTTTCTACCGAACAACTTTTTTGATTATAAAAAAAAAATTCTTCAATAATGAAGTGGTTTAAACACATATATCGTTCCAAAATAAAATTATGAATTGTTAAATACCATTGCTGTTTAAAAACAAGTAAAAATAAAAGGATGTGTGCAAACCATGCACCATCAAGGGGAGCTAAATGTCAACTATCATCTATTCCGTTACTAGCCCGGTTAAGTGTAGAACGATGCCAAACTAAATTCACGAATGCGCCACAATGCATCTCCCGTCTCCTGTCTCTTGTCTCTTGTCTCTTGTCTCTTGTCTCTTGTCTCTTGTCTCTTGTCTCTTGTCTCCTGTCTCTTGTCTCTTGTCTCTTGTCTCTTGTCTCTTGTCTCCTGTCTCTTGTCTCTTGTCTCTTGTCTCTTGTCTCTTGTCCCTCCCCAATTAAAGTGATGGAACCAAAACATTTTAAAAATTAAAATTATCGCTGGATGTGAAAAATTACTTTTTCGAAAGGACAAAATTATGATTTTCCGTTAGTTTTGAATACGCAGTTGGACTATATAGCTTCCAGGGGCGAAATTCAGCTGGGGCTAAAAGCATACCCTTAGGGGGCCCCACTACCAGAATGGACTTATGGTTTCATATGGCGGGGGTCGACAAAGTCAGTGCTGGCCTTGGGCGTCAAAATGCCTAATATCAAAGCTGATAGACGCCCTGCACTCCCCGGCCACCCCCCCCCCAAAACACGTGAAATGCTACTCCAACTTCCCCGCGGATAAAATTAAATGAAAGAAACGGGTCAAAACGAATGGGAACACCTGGACCATAATGCCATGTCATAACATTACTTAAATAGTTGTATGGACAGAGCTGTGCCCAAAAAAAGCGGCGCCCAGGACGGGCTAGTAATACGATTTCGGCGCCCCTGTCTATGTGAAGTACATTTGATTTTAACAGTTAATTCACTATTAAAGGGACTATCTAAAGACGTTTTGGCGCCCCTGATATTGGCCCTCCCTGACATTGGCCCTCTCCTCCGCATGGCCCTGAGTATATCGAAATTTAGGGGGCTCAGTGCGTTATTTTTTCCCCAGGCCGCCGCTGCTGTAAATAATTCTCTGTTTGTCATTGAGTCGTAGAGGGTTGAGCCGGGCCCAAGTTTGGATCAAACACCAGGCACTGAATGGTTACTGTATGCAAGATCAGTAACCTGTGGCCACGCCATCTGGACCCGTGCTATCTCTCTTGTTGTGATAAGTGTCAACACGCAGTTTCTAGTCCAAGATTAAACCTTGACCCTCGCTGGTCAATAAAGGTCTCGGCGATCCAACAACAATGTGAACGAATTATGTTGAAGACATTTAGATATACACATATTTCAAGCTCATCTTTCTGAAGACGGATTGCATAGTTCAAGTCTGGGAAGAGGGTTGGGAGGTGGACAGAAAGTGGTTTAGGGTTGGAGAGGAAGTGGTTTAGGGTTGGAGAGGAAGTGGTTTAGGAGGTGGAGAGAAAGCGGTTTAGGAGGTGGACAGAAAGTGGTTTAGGAGGTGGAGAGAAAGTGGTTTAGGAGGTTGGAGAGAAAGTGGTTTAGGAGGTTGGAGAGAAAGTGGTTTAAAGGGTGGAGAGAAAGTGGTTTAGGAGGTGGAGAGAAAGTGGTTTAGGAGGTTGGAGAGAAAGTGGTTTAGGAGGTGGGAGAGAAAGTGGTTTAGGAGGTTGGAGAGAAAGTGGTTTAGGAGGTTGGAGAGAAAGTGGTTTAGGAGGTTGGAGAGGAAGTGGTTTAGGAGGTTGGAGAGAAAGATGTTTAGGAGGTTGGAGAGAAAGTGGTTTTGGAGGTTGGAGAGAAAGTGGTTTAGGAGGTTGGAGAGAAAGTGGTTTAGGAGGTTGGAGAGAAAGGGGTTTAGGAGGTGGAGATAAAGTGGTTTAGGAGGTTGGAGAGAAAGTGGTTTAGGAGGTGGAGAGAAAGTGGTTTAGGAGGTTGGAGAGAAAGTGGTTTAGGAGGTGGAGAGAAAGGGGTTTAGGAGGTGGAGATGAAATGGTTCAGGGGTTGGAGAGAAAGTGGTTTAGGAGGTGGAGAGAAAGTGGTTTAAGGGGTGGAGAGAAAGTGGTTTAGGAGGTTGGGGAGAAAGGGGTTTAGGAGGGGAAGAGAAAGGAGTGGAGAGGGGGGGAGAGAAAGTGGTCTAGGGGGGGGAGAGAAAGTGGTATAGGAGGTGGAGAGAAAGTGGTTAAGGGGTTTAGGAGGTGGAGATGAAATGGTTCAGGGGTTGGAGAGAAAGTGGTTTAGGAGGTGGAGAGAAAGTGGTTTAAGGGGTGGAGAGAAAGTGGTTTAGGAGGTTGGAGAGAAAGTGGTTTAGGAGGTGGAGAGAAAGTAGTGGAGAAGGGTGGAGAGAAAGTGGTTTAAGGGGTGGAGAGAAAGTGGTTTAGGAGGTGGAGAGAAAGTGGTTTAGGAGGTGGAGAGAAAGTGGTTTAAGGTGTGGAGAGAAAGTGGTTTAGGAGGTGGAGAGAAAGTGATTTAGGAGGTGGAGAGAAAGTGGTTTAAGGGGTGGAGAGAAAGTGGTTTAGGAGGTGGAGATGA